AATAAATATATATTTCAATTATTATATTATTTCGTTGACTTAATCTTTTAACTCGTAGTGATTTAAAATATTAATTGCGTTTTCATTGTTGATTAAGGGGCTTAATTAGATTAATTAATAATAACCCATCTCGTTTACCATCTTAATATTTACCATCTTAATGTTTACCATCTTTTTTTTCTTTTTCCATTTCAAACCACTCGCGCATAGCTCTATAAATACCATACGCCAAGCACCCTTCCACATAGCATACCAGGTCAACACACACGAAGATGGAGGTTGTTTCTCCGATCAACGGCTGCTCCGGCGACACCGCCGGAAAAGTCATCATCTGCAAAGGTAAAATACAACCACTCTCTCTGTTTCCTCCGCCGGCAAATCTCTCTCTATCCCTTACTTTCTTTTCTTACAGCCGCCGTCGCTTGGGGCCCCGGCGAGCCATTTGTCATCGAAAATGTCCGAGTGGAGCCGCCACAGAAAATGGAGGTCCGAGTAAAAATCCTCTACTCTTCCATTTGCCATACCGATCTCAGCGCTTGGAAAGGACAGGTAAAAAACACAAAAAAATAAATAAATAAAATAAAATAAAATTATGTTTAAGTCGTTTTGTAATTAACCATTTGAATCATTTGATATTTCAGGACGAAGCCCAGAGAGTTTACCCTCGTATCTTCGGCCACGAAGCTTCTGGGTTATTACCCCAACCCCTAAATTTTCATTATAAAAAAAAAAAAAATTATTAATTGTTTCCATTCCAAATCGCAGTATTGTGGAGAGTGTAGGAGAGGGGGTGGTGGACGTGGCTGCCGGAGATCACGTGATTCCGCTGTTCAATGGAGAGTGTGGCACGTGCCGATGTTGCCAAAACCCGAACACCAACACGTGCGAGAAGATGGGAGTGAATCCGATGAAAAGCACGATGGTCCACGACGGACAAACCCGGTTCACGACGGCGGATGAGCGACGGCAGCCGATATATCACTTCCTAAACACGTCAACTTTCAGCGAGTTCACGGTGTTGGAATCGGCTTGTGTTGTGAAGATTGACTCGGAAGCTCCCATCAAGAAGATGACTTTACTAAGCTGTGGCCTTTCAACTGGTACGTAATTAAAACTCGAAATGACAAAATTTTTAATTTTATTTTTTAATTTTTGTTCATCGCTTTCGTTGTTGACCAATCAAAAAGATTTGTTTTTTAAGCGGAAAACCCAATGTCTAGGGCTATGTGGACAGCAGCATTAATTATACATATCCCTACCTCGTCTTGTCACTATGTTATCAACTAAAAAATTAATATCAATACTTCAATCAACAAACAACTAATTATTAATTAATTATATACATTTAACGCTTAATTAAGTCATTTTTAATTTCCTTATCTTTCTACAATGCATATTATAATTTATCATATAGTTAAAAGAAATGAATTTTGTTGATGAACGTATCTAATTTGATTGGCACTTTAATATGATTACTTTTTTGTAAATATCAAATAATTTTTATGGATTGACTTAATTAATTTGGTATAATCACTAATTACCAAAATTAAAACTAAAATGGAGTAAATGAAAAGGTTAAACAAAAAGATAGAATAGGGTTGTTATTATTATTATTATTATTATTATTTAATTGAAAGAAAAAAAAAAGAATCAATGTCCGTGGAGGATCTTATGTTTTATTTACTTTTTTGACCGTCCTGATCTGATTTAATGTTTATTAAATAATTGTTGTGTCGGCTTTATTTATTTATTTATTGTCCTTTTCTGTTCAATATAATTGTCATGTTTTTCTTATGTGATCAAAATAAAGTTGGGAGATGAAAATTGAATTTAATATAATTGCAATAAAGTTTGAAGTACTAATCTTGTTTACATTTATCAGAATTAGGAGACCGTATTTCTTTTTATTTTTCTTTTTAATTTTCATTTTAATTTGAGGTCACCTTGTGGGGAGGGAACATAATTTTATTATATAGTTTTTTTTAATAAAAAAAATATTTCGTAAAGTCTCAAAATACGACCAAATCAAATATTTATACGATAGGATTGTTTGTAAAATGGTTTATAAAACACATTTTTTTCTACCATACATATTTAAATTTGTCTTTACTCTTTAAGACTTTATTTTTAAAAATGATAGAAGATAAATTTGATGTGACTTTTTATTTTATTAAAATGTGATGGATCCTTGAAATGTTTTCTTTTCTATCACTTTCTTTCTTTTTTTAATTTCTTTTTAAAAAAAGTTATTTAGCGGAAAAAGTTCGGATAATTCTTTTGGATTAGAGAATCAAAATGGACTTTTTAAAAAATACATAGAAAAAAACTAAAATAAGATTTAAAATGGTATAAAAGAAAAAAAAGTAGAAGATATTGAATTTATAAAGAAAGTAAATGATGTTATATTTTAAAAAAAGATCCGGTTGCAAGGGAATGGCGCTGTACCGGATCATTTCCCGGAAAATGCAAATGGAATGGTGAACTAAAACGGATTCAAAAATTGGCGGAAGGGTTTGGTCATCCGTTTTGCGCAGTTTCCGTTATTAGTTATGGAACCCTTTTCTTGCGCCTACTCCTATTTTTCTTTTCTTTTTCCTTTTTTTTTTCCTTTCTAAAAATATGTTCAAGCAAAGTAAATTTTATTAAAATGATAATTTAAAAAAAAAAAAAAAAAAAACTTCCAACAATATTTGATTTTCTAATGTCTTTTATAATATATGAATTTTCAGATATAAATATTATAATTAATTTTTTAGTTTTATCAAAATTGACAATGGGAACAGGAGTGGGTGCAGCGTGGAACACTGCCAACGTGGAAGCTGGATCCACGGTGGCCATTTTTGGGCTGGGAGCAGTAGGACTCGCGGTAATTAATTCTTCTCTTCAAAATATTATAATTAATAATTATTGATTTTTGTTCGTTTATAGTTTAGTTGTATTAATTCAACTCCACCTAATACCTGACTCCAAGCTCTCTTAGTTGTGGGGTCGATGCTAATAAATGTGCACCTAATGACTTTAATAAGTGAGTTGAATTCAACCTGTCTCCAACTTGTGGTGCTTGTACTTTTTCAGGTAGCTGAAGGAGCTCGAGCTCGCGGTGCTTCTAAAATCATCGGTGTCGATGTCAATTCCCATAAGTCTCCCATTGGTAACTTATACATTCAAACCTGTTGATTTGGATCTCAATTGGGTTAAACTTTTTGACTTTGATTCTAACCTTAAATCAAATACTTGGTACAAATAGGGAAGCAATTTGGAATCACGGACTTTATAAACCCTAGAGACTCTCACAAACTTGTTCATGAGGTCGGTATTTATTATATATATTATAATTAAAATTATAAATTTCCACATATTAATGATCTAATGTTATAGACATTGACGGTTTTGACTTGTAGATCATCGTAGAGATGACGAACGGAGGCGTGGATTATAGTTTCGAATGCGTTGGGGGTGTGGAAGTTTTACGCACAGCCTTCTTGTCTACACACATTGTAAGTTACCATTACAATTGACATTGTAAACACGATAATTTGTGACATGACATGTTTGTATGTGTGACATTGTAAATACGATAATTTGTGAGATGACATGTTCGTATGTGTGCGCGTACACGATAGGGATGGGGAACCACAGTGATGTTGGGAATTCATACAACCCCAGAAATGCTTCCTCTTCACCCAATGGAGCTGTTCAATGGGCGCAAGGTGGTAGCTTCCGTTTTTGGAGGCTTCAAAGGCAGGACTCAAATCCCTCATTTTGCCAAGCAATGCATCCTCGGGGTAACTAAACTTCCTCCTCCTTTTAATTATCAGACATGATTAAAATGTAATTAAGATTAGATTAATATATGAGCTCGAGTTGCAAGGTTAAACTGACGATTGATATTCATATTTCATTCAATTTATTCATATTCCATTTACGATTAGAATTAAAAGAAATTTTGGTTATTCATGGATGAAGAAAGTATATTTAATATTTGATGCATATTATGAAGAGGGTTTTAAGTTAATTTTTTTTTTTTATATCAGGTGGTAAAATTGGATGAGTTCATAACAGATGAACTTCCCTTCGAGGACATAAACTCTGCATTTAAACGACTTATGGATGGAAAATCTTTGAGATGTCTTTTGTATTTGTAATACATTTAAGATATAAATTCTCTCGTGTGTGCTAAATAAATAATTCAAATCTCGTGTGATGTATTTATATTATGTTAATATTTGATATTTAAGATGGATTGTGTAACTCTATGAAAATAATTGAGAGATTTTGCTCGTTTATAATATAATTATTGCATGTGTATGATATTTCATTTTATTACTAGTTGGCTCGATCGCATAGCTATACAAAATGGTTTTGTTGTATACATAAATATTATATCGTAATTTCCTAAAAGAAGTTGTAACAAAGTTATTAATAATATTTTAGGCATACTAGCTAATGGTATTGAAACCCATATAAAATCCTCCAAATTAGCAATACAAAACAATTTAATTATTTGTTTAAAATTTGAAGTCAAAGGTAGGAGACTAAATGCATAAATAGATTAATCTTATTCAACCCATCAATTTAAGAAAAATATTTATAAAGAGAGGGATGAACTAAACATTCTTAACATGGGTGTATAAACCTCTCCTAACAAACACTTTTAAAATTGTGAAGTTGACAACCATAAGTATCAATAATACATCAATTGAAGGCCTTAATTTAAAAATTATTCTTCTGAAGTTTAGGATTGGAACCAAGATTCAAAATTTAGATTAAAAATACACTTTTGTTGCAACATTCTCCTATATCTACTACGATGTGACTATATTATCTTACTTACTTGTTTTGAAGTAAAGACTATCCTCACAAATAAACACGAAGGGGGTATAAGAGAATATAGTATAAAATAAAAGGAAGGGATGGAAGTCTAATTCAGTTTACCAAAGAATCAAACAATCGAGCAGGGGTTCCTTGGAATATACCTTTTTCTTACTGTTTCTTTCATTTTTCTGTTCCCGCTCTGTCTCTGCTCTAAGATCGGAACGGAACTTACATCTCTTTCATTCATTCTTTCTTTCCTTTTTCTTTCCATTTTTCCTCAATTCAATTCAATTCATTCATTTTTCTCAACCTGTTTGACCCTGTCTGGACTCTGTTCCTCCAATTACTCCCTATCGGATCTTCGGAGTTGATCATGACCGTCCCTGCTTCCGGTTTTATCATGGAAAGCGACGGATCAAACTGCCTGCCACTCCCCCCAGATGTGGAGAATCGGATCGTCTCCGACCTTCTGAAGGAATCCGAGTCTAATTTGAAAGAAGGCAATCTCCACTATGTTGTTTCTAATCGGTATTGCTTCTTCTCGGTTTTCTAATGTGTCGAGTGGGGTATTGTGTGTTTTGGAAGTTCGGTCGCTTTAATTTTTGGTTTTCTACTTTGTCTTGTGTTTCTTGAAGTTCATTTCCAGCGTAGTCTAAAAATATGCCATTGCTATGCGTATCTGTAGTTGTCAATTCATACGTTTTATCTTTCTTGTCTCACATGTTTGTGGGTACTTTCTATCATGCGCGCTTTCTTTTTCCCGGGAGATCTTGAGTTTCTTTAAGGTTTAATTCAATGAATTTTGGACATGTAAATTGCTGAGATTCTTTGGAATGCAAGAAATGTTCACTCTACTATTCATGCAGGTGGTTTAGAAGATGGCAATTATATGTCGGACAGCCTACTGAAGAATTTTTTAGCAAAGATCAGTCCTCTGATTCCCCACACTTGAATGTGTCTCCGTTCAACATTCTAAGACCCGGTCCTATTGATAATTCAGATATAATCATTAACGGAGGAGATTCTGAGAATAACGAGTTGGAGATAGAAAGATTTTTGGTGGAACGACGGGATTATGTTTTGGTGCCCGGTGAAGTTTGGGAGAAACTTTATGATTGGTAAGATGTCCGCTCATTTTCTTTGTCAAACTATCCTTTGACTCATCTACTATTTCTTGTTCTGTTGCTTCTTCTTTTTATCAGACATTACTTTTTATGTTGGTGACATGCTTTTAATTGTTATCTATACATATTTCTATGGTTGTCTCTATGATATTTTTTGAATATGAGCATTGTTGAATCGAAAAGTTACAAAGAAAATTCTCTAGTTTATGTTAATTGAATCAGGAATTTATTTGCAAAAAGAACTAAATAGTGCTGCAACCTCAGAAGTTGTATGACATTTTGCATATCTTCTGTTTCCTCCGTGTTGTACACTTTCCTTTTGGGTACACAACAACTGATGGACATTGCCTCATGCTGATAAATCAAGCATCCAAGAGCATTCAAAACATTTGAACGAGAGCTCTCAACATTTTCTACTTTATTGAAGTTGAGGCAAATAGATGTGACTGGACCTCCCCTATCCACATGCCCAAAACACGACAACTTGTACTTATAGTAATATAGAGACGTTTCATCTACAACTTGTCTGCTGTGTTAGATCCATTTGGAAAAAGAACACAACTCAAAATATTCACGTTTTCTGGACTCCTCAGCTTGCACAATGCATACAAAAGAACCTTAGGTAACAATTGAGGAGTTGTAATTCCTGAAACAAAGATTAATACTTATGTACCCAAGGGATATAAGTTCCAGATTTTGTTCTCCCCTATCAACAGGAGACCATCAATCACCTGTAATAAAGCTCTTGCTTCTTATCGCCAAGATTTCTCTTTACAATGAATCTCCAAGTCTTGTTTTGATTAATTCTTACCAAGCATAAAAAAAAAAAACAGAGGTGTTTGACGGCCCAGAAATTACATAAAATCCTGGATATCTTTGGAGTTAAGCTGATTTCCAGCCTATCATTCGCAAGGAAGTATTCAACCCTTTCCATTCTGGATCATTGAGTAGTTCTCTATAAGGCCTTTTAGTTTCAAATGTTCCACCATGATAATTTATCTTTACCAAGTAGTAAGTACTAGAGGTTTGATTGAGTATCTGTGAATGTAAGTAACGTGGATGGCGATTTTGGATATTCATATGATTAAACAGTATTAATCATATGGTTTTGTCTCAAACTACCAAGTTTCACTTTCTGCCAACCTCTAATTTCTCTCTCGTTTGATTTGGTTTCTTTATTATTTTATGTACTCTACTTGGTGCATTCTTGAATGGAACTGTTTTATTGGAAATTACCTATGGAATTAAAGTTGTATGTGTATTGGGTTTACTGTTATTACCATGATTTCCAAACCCAAAACTATTTGGGATGCCTGAGTTGTTGTTACATCCTTGTTTTTATTAGGTATAAAGGAGGACCACCGTTACCAAGAAAGTTGATATCCCAAGGTGTCACTCAAAAAAATTTTTATGTGGAGGTTTATCTACTTTGTCTAAAATTGATTGATTCCAGGGATGGAAGTGAATCTACCATACGATTGAGCAAGAAGGTATTCTTCATATTTTACCCTTTGATTCATTAAAAACTTGGATAGTGCAAGGTGGTCATAAGATTTTCCTTACAATTATTTGTTTGATCCCAGTTAAAAATAAATGCGGTTATATATATATCTTTTTTGCTGATAGATCGTATATTCTGCAAGTGGGATCAAACATTGGTTGACAATAAAACATTTGAGAATTTTGGACCATTATAAAATTAAATCCTTGAAAGCTTGCAAAGGAAGAGGCAACATTTAAAACTTTGCAGTCTAACAGTTAAGTGAGGCTGATCCCCAAACTCCAACATGTCCAACACACAAGGGTTGCTCCAGACTTAATTAGATGAGGGGTTTAACCAATAAATTAACTCTAAAGGTGATACTACCGAATACCTAAATGTGGTGGGTTTGCTGGGCATGTGCAGGATTTGAAGTTGGAGAACAAAATAAAAATATGAGAAGAGAAGTGAAAGGGATGAAAGGAAACCCCAAGAAGTAAAATTAGATAGCAAATACAAAATAAGAGGTGCAAATCATGTCACATTGCTTGCACCTCTGCATCAGCCAACAGGTTGAAGGTCATGATTAGTAAAATGTTCAGCCATGGCCAATCATCTGATGCCACGGGGGGGAGTTAAAGAAGCAAAAGAATGAAATATATATAGGTGTGTGTGTGTGTGTGGTCTGGTTTGAACTGAGTATTTCTGTTTTCAGAATTTCCTTCATTTTAAAGCCTTAGTAGCAGAGCGCTAAGTGGAAAACTCCCCATAGCATCCAACTTCTGACTAATCTGTCATTTTCATGGCTGGGGGAAGATAAAAAAATAACAAAGAACAGGGATAGTTTATTTTTGGCTAGTTCTCTACCAAAAAGCCACTTGCATTAGCACAAGTTCCAACCTTTGTTATCTTCAGATTAGCATTTGTCAACAGGAAAAAGAAAATCTAGAATTTGCAACTGTAATAAAAGAGGGAGATCCATTCTCAAAGGAGTGGGGGACTCTTCTTGGTGTATGAAATCTTATCTTTTTTTTGTAATTGCTTGATAATTATTTCATAGGAGATCGCTATGTAATTTTCTTGTTACTCCTTGAACAATAAAAACATGTAAAGAGTTGCAAATAACTGCTAATTGTGTTGGATTGAATACCTTCTTTATTTTCAGAAACTTTTGCTTGCTTAGCTTGTTGCTGCATTTTTAACTACAAGATCCTATTGGCCCTCTGTTCAAATATATTACTTCTTGTTTACCTCGTCTTTGGCCTTATTTGTGGGTCCTTATTATGTTGAAATATTCTTTTGATTCCAGAAAAATTTTCCAAACTCACTGGTGGAATAAGATTTTATCGCATTAAAGATTGTGTGTCCATTGTATAGTTAATCTGTATATGATTTTCTGTTTTCCCAGAATGTATTGGATTCCTGGGGATACTTATCACATCTAATCGCTGGATTATGAGCTTGTGCTTGATCTTTTAACCCCATTAGCATGATGCATTGTAGTTTCTTTGGTCTTTTGAGGCCATGGGTTACTTTTGTTAATGCAGTGCTTTCTGATGATTAAAGTAGATTGAAATATTTGCATTAGCATTTCATTTCACCCAAAGTCAGATGAAAGTACATGATGAAAAAAAATCCTTTGGGAGAACAGAAGTCCGCTTGATATACATTTGGTTTGGTCTACTTTCTAAAAGTGTTCTCAAAATCCAAGCCCAATTTTGAAAACTAAAAAAAATAGATTTCATTAGGTCTTGGTACAAGTTTGACTTTTATGTGTTCAAGTCGAGCTATGTGCATATATGTCTTAGTCTTCACTGTATGTGAACTATCAGCAACTGCAGAACTTTGCTTACCCTCTTTCTGCAACACAGGCCACCATATCTGATCTTCGTGAGAAGGTGTTTGCACTTAAAGGAGTAGAGCAAAAAGAGGTCTGTGAACTTCTTTTTTGTTTGTAGATATGGGAACATGTTAGTATTATCTTTTACAACTATTTTGGATCACTGCTTTTTGGTAACTTGCAGGCGTGTATATGGGACTACTTCAACAAATGGAAACAATCAGTATTGGATGGGACGAGCCAAACCCTTGAAGAACTAAACTTGCAGATGGATCAACATGTGAGTACTTATTCAATGTATTTATTTTATGCGTATATTGATCTAAGAAGGATTAGCTTTGAGGAGGGTGTATGGATAGATGATGTCTCTTTCCTGCTTTCTTTTTCTATGTTCCCAATCAATCCTTACGAGTGGCTAATTTAAGTGAACATTCATTCATTGTTTTGCTGACTGAATATAACAATTCATGCTAGACATCATTATTCTTGGATGATGTTTTTTATTAGAAAGCTTGATGGTAGTGAAATCATGAAATTTGAATGTGCTATATCACTTAAATTTCTGGTGGGTTATTAGAAAGCTTGGGTCCATTTTTAAGGGTATGCCATGAGCAGCATGTTCTAGACTTGCAGATGGATCAAGATGTGATTACTTATTCAATGTTTTTATTTTATGGGTATATTGATCCAAGAAGGATTAACTTTGGGGAGGGTGTATGGATAGAGGATGTCTCTTCCTTTCTTTCATTTACTATGTTCCAATGGATCCTTATGAGTGGCTATTTTAAATGAATGTTCATCCTTATTTTGCTGACTATGACTTCGTTTACAATTCACACTAGACATCATTTTTCTTGGATGGTAGTTTTTATTAAAAAAAAAAAAAAAAAAAAAAAAAGCTTGCGTAGCCGCCTCATCATCTCAATTATTTTGCTAAATGGCAGCCTATGCTCCACGAATTTATTTTATAATAAATATATTTTAAAAAAAACAATAATTATAATAAAAAAAATTTAAAAGCTAAAATAAATAATTATTTATTATTCAAAGTAGTTGGTATAGGTATAAAAAATAATAAAAAAAAATACTTATTATTTATTTATTCCATGTATTTTGAATTTTGTTTATTTGACGTGTTCGTGAAGTTAATTTTGATCGAGTACAATATTTTAAATTAGTCGATCGAGTCAGGTTAGAAAATATGTCACGAATTGTCAGGACTCTATTAACGATTAAGAACGCAGTTGGTTGTATCACAAGAAAAAGAAAAAAAAATTAATTTAATTTATTTTTTTATTTATTAGCTTGGTAAAATCCAAAATTAAGATGACTTAATTTCCCTTAAGATAAAATAAAATAAATAAAAGGTATTTTAAGGGGACTCCACATGGCTTGGAAGATATAGTTAGTGTATATTATTAAAGATTGAAAAATAATGAATGATTTAATCATGCAATAAATTATAATATAAGATGGTAGGTTGTGATTATCGAAGAGGTCGAAGTATAAAAATACTCAGTAAGTAACGTACTTGTAGNTGTGCTACACCACTTAAATTTCTGGATGTTCTTGGTTGAGTGTACAATTGGATATCACTTGTTGGATGAAACGCAATTTTTTTAAGGAAAATTAGTTGTATCTATCTCATATCAGAGTTGGAACTGATATTAAAAGCCTGTATTGGGGTTTTGAGGAAAGGAGAATGAAGGGGTGCATAGCTTGAACATAGCAAAGTTATAAGTGGCTGGGCTTTGTGATTTGGTTCTCTCTCTCAATCAGTCCTGGGTGTAAGTATTATTTAAACTATGTTTTTAGGTATTGCTTTGGGGGGCTTTGGTTGTGTCTATGTTTCACCTCTTTCATCTTTGTTATCTATCAGGAGATGCTTTTTCTTTGATGCATAAAATGTCGATAACCAATCCTTTGGGGATCTTGTTCCTCGTAAATCTTTCCTGAATAACTTTTGAACACGTCTAGGAGCTAATTTATGTTTTTAGTAACTTGATTTGGAAAGAACAAATGTTTGAAATGGTAAAATTTACCTATAATGATGTCGGTGACTGCGATCATGATGTGTGTGTGTGTGTGTTTTTTTTTTTCTTTTTGCCTCAAATATTTGCGTAGAGTGAAATTTCAAAGCATGGTGATATAGAGAGAATAATTTCAGAAAAATTTACATTTAAGTTTTTTTGTCTCTCTTTTCCATAATGAAATATTATGTTCTAAATCAGCAATGCATCCGAGCACATTGGTTCTGCATTCAATTTGTTGGAGATGTTCATTTTAAATTTATCTATTTTCATGTACTTATATTCACTCTTCTGCAGATCCTCCTTGAAGTTGATGGAACTACTCTTCAGACCGGTATGGATGCCACTCAAAACGAGCTAGCTTTGGTAGCCCTTGAACCTTCATGGTCACCTTTGTCAATTGCAGGGGGTGCAGTGATGTCAAGTGGACATTCATCCAGTTATGGTAATCAGGGAAGTTCTTTCAGCACATCAGTTTCTGACATGGATGATAGAAATGACGTTAGTAGTATTGTAAAGAACAGAGGGAGGGGTGGTTTGATAGGGTTGCAGAATTTAGGAAATACATGTTTCATGAATAGTGCCCTTCAATGCTTAGTTCATACGCCACCCTTTGTAGAATATTTTTTACAAGATTATTCTGAAGAGATCAACTCCGACAATCCTTTGGGAATGCACGTAGGTGGCTTTTCTCATCTTTGGTCTTCATTTTCTTTTTTTATTAAAACTGTTTTTAATTATTCATTGGATATTTTTTTTTCCTGGAAGTTAAACTTGATTTTGTGGGTATACTCAATGTTTCTGCAGGGAGTGTTTGCCCTTGCTTTTGGTGAATTGTTGAGGAAATTATGGTTGCCAGGACAAAGCTCAATTGCACCACGTGCATTTAAGGGAAACTTAGCTCGTTTTGCTCCCCAGTTCAGTGGTTATAACCAGCACGATTCCCAAGTTAGTACCATATTTATAGAACTCCTTTTGTTTTATATAGTCGCTCCTTTCCTAAGTGATCTCTCTACGCTCCCACAATTAGGATGCTATTGTACTTGCATCTTTAGTGTTTGATTTTAGTTGTGAACAGCTTAATTTAGCTAACAGTTCTCATAAGTAGAAATACTATAATTGTGAATTATCGTGCATTGCCTTTTTTAAGTTTCTGTGTGCTTTATTTCATTCATCTGATGACAATTAATTGTTCAGAAGCTTAGTAAATGTAGTAAGATTTGGAGCTGACAACTTTGTTAAGCTTTTGGAAAAATTAATTTCATTTATGTTACTTGGACAACAAGCTACCATCTTCTGATGAGATTTCAACTACCATCCCTAGTATCTTATGAGGTGATCTTACTCTGCGCGTTTATGATTGCCATTTTCTTCTTTCCTTTTCTTCTATAATCATCCTTTTAGAAACTTCATAAAAGAGATTTTACGATTTGAAATATTTAAACAAAGAAAGAAATGGTTTTTACATATTTAATCTTTTTTTAGAAAAAAAATATATTGTATCTCCCCTCTCAGGCTCATAACTTATTGTCTGCTTTTATACGAAACCCCACAATTTTGCGCTTCTATGTGACTTGTGCTTTAAAATGTACTAGTCGTATGAATACATTGTCGCATTGTACTTACTGCATGTTGATTTAAACAATGATTCGACATCCATTTTTGGTTCTTGTACTTTCAGCTTTTGTCTATTTTGATCCCTCTACTCTCAAAACATCCAGTTTGGTCTCTTTATATTTTTAAAGTGATTATTGTGTTTGCAAAACCTCACACAAATTCTATGCACAACGAATACTCTTTAATACAAAAATACAACCATATTTCTGAAATTTATGGAGGGTGGTGTTGTGCTGATATTGTGATTGGGAAAAATAAGATGAAAATGGAAAGGGACCAAAATTATTACTATTTTAAACTATAGGGACAAAACTAAAAATTTTGGAAGTACAAATACCAGAATTAGTACTTTACAATTCTTTTTTCTTGCTCAAGCGGAGGAGAACATACTTCAGTTTAAATTCAATTTAATGGAAGTAGTTGATTTGGCTATAATTTTCTAGGAAATTCAATTCAAATTTCTGATTATGAATGTGTTCGTTCATACATAGTGCATCAATTTGTTTTTGTAGATCCTAACCTAGGTTAGATGTCTGTCTCTAGGAACTTCTTGCATTCTTACTGGATGGTCTGCATGAAGATTTGAATCGTGTTAAGAGGAAACCTTATTTTGAAACAAAGGCTTCTGATGGTCGTCCAGATGTAGAAGTTGCGGACGAGTGTTGGAGATACCATAAAGCTCGAAATGATTCTATAATTGTGGATGTTTGTCAAGTAAGTAGCTTTTGATATATTTGAGAATCTCATTGCATAATCATCCTGCTTGCCATGTTGCTGTGTCAATCACTGCAGGTAGTTCTAAGTTGCACGATCTGTAGTTTGTGATGTAAATATGAACCGTGTCAAGAAGTTCTCATGTTTACTCTCATAAGTTACATTATCCTTTTTAATCTTTCAATTAAAGTCATTTACATGTTTCATCTTTAACTAGTAGAGATTGATGGGATGTCTTAAGTTAGTTTTTGGTTTGGACTATCTAGTTATTTAAATTATTGTTTATTTTCTAATCATGTATAATTGATTTAACTCACAGGGTCAATATAAGTCAACATTGGTTTGTCCAGTTTGTAGAAAGATTTCCATTACTTTTGATCCATTTATGTATTTGTCATTGCCGCTACCTTCAACTGTCACCCGCAGTGTGACAGTGAGTGTGTTCTATGGTGACGGTAGTGGTCTTCCAATGCCATACACTGTGACAGTACAAAGACATGGTTGCACCAAGGATCTCACCCTTGCATTGGCTACAGCGTGCTGCTTGAAGAGTGATGAAGATCTTCTGCTTGTAGAGGTAAGTATGTGACATACGTTTGGTTTCTGCTTTCTTATTTCTTATATTACAATTAATGTTCATCTTGATGTATGATGTCCTTTTTTTTTTTTTTTGTTGTG